CCGTGAGAGTTTTGCTCTCAGACATACAAATTGATTCGAAATGGACATCGATAGGTTTAAAATATATTTCTACTCTGAGTGCCAGATCTTTTTCAAATTGTTTCATGGGTAAATGATGCATATCTAATGCCAAACTTAAAAGGGTCCAACCTCCAAACTAGAATGCACTACGAACAAGATGCACCTATTAGAAATTAATTTGAAATTGCTGGTGTAAGTCATATCTGTATCAAAGACCAAACTTGCGGTCCAGAATACTAACAGAAATATACAAGTATATACCACAAGTGTATCAAAGACTTCCGTACCAGAATATTCATATTCTGCAAGAATTGATAGTATCATACCATGGGTAAAAGTCTCTAAGTTAGTACAAGATTCAATTTAAACAAATTTGCATAGAAATCTATCATTGGGATGCAGTATCATTGTTATAGAAAAAATTCTGAATTTTTTCGTTTTCTATAAGCACCTCAGGTGTATATTGTTTGAAGCATGATATTACAACAAAACGACAAAATAAAAAAGGCTTCATTATAAATTAGTTTGGGTTCTTCCTGACAATCGGAACAGCACAGCTCCTGTGTTATATGAAGTATAATTCATTAATGACTGGAGCTTTAAAAAGTTCTAAGATGAGCTAAGTTAATAATTAAGTCGTGTCTTTAACGACAGACTAACACCTGATGTTCTGAACTTCGCCTTTAATTTGCCTACGATTGTCTTTGATCAGGCTGTGGAACATTCTTGTGTTTTAATTAGACACAAGTTTGTCTGACTAAAGGCATAACTCCATGTCTTAGAAACATGGATGAAGTGCCACGTCCTGATTTCTAATTAAACACTAGGCTAGCTTACGGAATGTAAGGACATGCCTTATACTTAGTAGTCCATATTGGCTACAATTTAACTTGTTCCTGCTAGTCCTTGAAAAGTTATTATGTAAAGAGTAAAACATGTATTTGAAATAAATATAAGTCAATTGAGTACTAATTATTTATATAAAAGTTAAGAAAAATATCGACCGATTTTTTGGAAAGGTTAACCAGTAAAGATGTTACTTCATTTTCAGTTGAATAGATCTGAGTTAGATATGGTTTATTGGGTTGATTTGGCGATGTGTATATATAAAATCTTAACTACCTTGAGGAAATCATTTTCAAAGAAACACCAGTTAGAGGTTTAAGGTTCACATATTTAAATTATTTGAAAATATGTAAAATTATACATCGTTTTAAGTATTTCACCCCCCAAATTTGAAAATACCAGGTAAATGGTAGATTTGTGTGGCTTTTGGTATTTTTCTGGAATAGTTTGCTTAATAATGAAAAACAAATTGTGTTCTGTATCCGATTTATATAATCTATACAATAGTTCAAGAACTATTAGGTGCAAAACGTTTGAAGATTAAATACTGAGTAATAATTTTTATACTATGGGTCAAAAATTTATTACAGAAACAATGCCTGTGGTATGTAAACACGGCTGAAGCTCTTAAATATTTCAATTATTTAAAATATACATGTATATTCAATAAGTTTTATTTATGATCCTTTTCCGATATTCATTTTTTTAGAGAGAAGATTTTTTGAAAAAAACTTCTGAAAATCTTCTTTGTGTTCCCTTTCCTCTTTGGTTGACTGTCGTAGAGAGTATTTCAAGATAAATCTCAATGATACGATATCAAAAGTGCCATGCTTTGAAATAATCGCCGACTTCCTTATCTTTAGATGGAAATAAAATGTTGCAAATGCCTTTGTTAAGTTTATTTTTTTAAAAGCTACAGGTAAAAAAAAAATATCTGAGGAATCGCTTACTGTTCATATATTACTGAATAATTGACCAACATAAGATATAAGTTCTCCCAAGCATGTTTTCTCCGGAGAAATCAAAGGAAAATCCTAGTGAGATGGAACTTAAACAAACTTAATAAGACATATTTATAGAATAAAGTCCTTTGGGAGGAGATTTGTACAAATCATTCCTGGATTAATTTAAAAAAATTACCCAAATATCCCTCATCGCCGCATTCTATCAATTAAGACATTGACATATAAAAGATCGAGTTAATTATTCCACGGAGCGATGGAACTCTTCAATCGGGGAAAATGTACGAAAATGATAAATGTTTCACCCAGAGCCCTAATAATGCTGAAATGGGTTACGAGACACAAATTCAATACAGCAGCGACATCTGTATATCTATATTCCAATAAATGTCACATATATCTAAACCATTTTCTCTTGATTTGGGGTAAAGATTGGAATCATCTTTGTAAAAATAAATGGCAAATTTTTGCAACATCAAATATAACAAATTCTGATTTGTAAATTTGCATTCAATCAAGTTTCAGTTTATCTCTAATGGTTTGTTTGTTTGTTGTTCGATTGATCTATGTATACTTGTTTTATGTTGCGTTCTAAATGATTTCCAAAATGCGTTATTTACATTCGCGAGCACATGCGGAAAATTAATCACGTCTTCGTGCTCTCATTGGAACCATGAGCACAAAAAAATCCAAGAAACATTCTCTTTATATAAAGGCTAGCGTGTCTCGGCTTATCCATTCCCCCAAAATTGTCGGCGTTTCTCTCTATAAAACATTTATGTAAAATGACACAAAGTATCCGAAACAATTTTCTCTCGGTGGGTTCTATTAACTCCGGTACAATCAGGGTGTGTAAATATACACAAATAATTGGTAAAAATTGTGAACATTGTACACGTAATGCGATGATGGTAAAACTACTTTGAATGGTTCTATGATAGATCTTACAAAGAAACTTAACTATCAGTAGAAGTATTTAGATTAAGTATTTATAATAATACTCCAATAAGAATCTAACATCTTAAAATGTAACATCATTTTTGTTGAAAGGTTGTCTGCTTCCCATGTCTTCAGACTTCTGGTTCCCGTATCTTTGCATGAATTGACGACTTTTTCTTGCCTTTATTTCCTGAATGAATTACTTGTAATTGGTTACAAACGAGCCTGTGTTCTTGTCATTTTTATTTAAGATAACACATCCGGAGGATAAACTTCAGAGAAAATTCGAGTTACGAAAAAATCCACCTTAATTACCATTATACAGAAACATTTGCTTACATAACACGAACCAAATGTATGTTTTGACAAAATCCGACGTGGAACATTGCACCTATAGTGGCGCCTCCCCGCGGTTATTGTCAGATTATGTGATGAAGAACCTCAGCTCCCGTCTGTTCTTAATAACGAGGATAAATAATAGTTAATTACAGTATTTATGTTCGATTAACGACAGTTACTACACAGGGGGAGAAAAAATTCTCCAGCAGGTTAGTATTATAAGACAAGAACGGTCAAATTTTGCCCTGTACGATTTTATTTATATCTTCTACATATAACATGTTAAATTGCTAAAATTTATTTTTCTAATATCTTTTAACTTTCAAACCATTTGTAGAAATCAATACTTATCACAACTATACCTGTTCAATTCTAATCCGCAAGAATTAATTGAATGTTCAAAAGCTTCAAGATGTCTTTTTTAAGATACTTTTTTGCATGATTCTTTTACTTATATTATATTATTACTTATATTATTAGCTATTCAGAAAAATATATGAATTTGTTAGTCAACTCTTTGGAGATAATTCCGTCAATACAAAAAAAATGTACTACAAAATACCCGGAATGGAAACTGAAAGTTCTCAGAAACGAAGTAATAACGGAAGAAGAGACCATCATTTTGCACATCTAGAAAATAAACTAGAAATTTGATGAATTTAATTTAATATTGATAGCAACGCTTACTTCATATCTGTTCGTCATACTAGTATTCATTAGTAACATTACAGTCATATTATGCAAACTGGATGCAAATTTACCCAGAATCACCCAACATAACCATTATCCTCCCGTCATTGTGTTGCAGACATGACCATCTTTAATGACATGCCTACAGTACGACTGCTAATAATAGTAAGCCCTTTGAGGCTTTGAGCGACCTTTGCCAATACCAACAAATACCACCGTTACAAATCGTGAGCCTTGGATTTGTTCAGAATGAATACAATTTGCTGGACATTCCAACCTTATCCTTTAATCCAGTGAAAGGACACCCTGTTTAGGAATTGACCAACAAATGTCAATTTCCTTCATCAACAATCTTATGGTTATATGAAGTCTTTTTCCTTATCAAAGATAGTAATGTCTCTATATTTGTTTTATTTTTATTATAATGAAATTCAACCTATTTGAAAGACATTTAAATAATGCCTTTCTAAAAGTAATTTCAAAATAACTTTCTTTGACATGCGGTTCCGTAAATGCCATTCATGATAACTATATGTGACCATTTTGTTTGGAGAATGCCTCTTTAAAATTCGATGAACATTAATAAGGAAAAAAAGACAACCATAAGGTTATTGATGGAGGAAATTGACATTTGTTGGTCAAGTCCTCACGAGATAGTCCTTTCACTGGATTAAAGGATAAGAAGGTTGGAATGTCCAGCAAATTGTATTCATTCTGAACAAATCCAAGGCTCACGATTTTTTACGGTGGTATTTGTTGGTATTGGCAAAGGTAGCTCAAAGCCACAAAGGTCTGACTATTATTATCAGTAATAAGAATGAATTTTCCTTTCAATATCAATGACAATACTTTTAGTATAATAACGAAAAGCGTTTTAAGTTTTAAAAAAGAAATTTAAAGCACATAGAGGAATCTCTCTTATCTACACCTTAAAATAGAACTTGTCCTGTATAATTTCTATTTTAACAAAGATTTTTTTTTCATTTCTGTATTTGTTTTACTTTTATTACAATGAAATTCAACCTATTTGAATGACATGTAAATAATGCATTTCTAGAAGTAATTTCAAAATAACTTTCTTTGACATGCGGTTCCGTAAATGCATTTTATAACTGTATGTGACCATTTTGTTTGGAGAATACCCCTTTAAAAAATTTATAAGCATAAATCATTAGATGATTTATAATTAAAACAAGGACTCACCTATCGATAGCTATAGACATAAGCGTCAGGACACTAGCGGAAAGGGTACAGATGTTAATAAAGTTACTGAATTTACAGTAGGCTTCTCCGTACCACCAATCCTGGTAAATCAGAAAGATGGATACAAAAGCCGTGTTAAACAGAGAAATCAAGGTGTCGGCCACCGCCAAATTAACCAGGAAGTAGTTAGTAAAGGTCCGCATCCGCTTGTGGGCCATCACAATCCAAATGACGGCAAGGTTGCCACCGGCCGCCACCACAATCATAACCACATACGCCGTGATAAACACCACCTGTTGCCACACCGGCATCAAAGTAAAATCGTCGTGTCCAGCCACCGTAGAATTGTTCTTCTCCATTTTGTAATTATAATTTCCAAAATTTTATGAAATTACAAAAGATACTTTTTTCACTTTTTCACGCAACAGTGTGATATTTTGAACTGCCAAGAATAAAGAAATATTTGTTCAAATGCAATATAAGAGAGGAAAGAGGAAGGCATCTTCAAAGGAGTTGACTAGGATTAAATCTCAACAGGTTACATGTGTTAAATCACCCTCTGCAAAGATAGCTGTAAACCTCGGCACGTCCGTGTCTTTCTATGAATGAGCTGCTCCATTCCTTTCATTGGCTGAGGTTTCTGATGCTGACCCTGCGCGCAAGTCGAGTGTCTATAAAACCAGCCCTAGCGATCTATAGAAATCAGAAAGGAAAACTCACGTAAATTCCAATAGAAGCCGTGTGATTTACAACACAGAGTGCAGCCCGTCACCATAAGGACAATTTATTTCGGAAATATGTACGGTATTTACACATATTTGTCAGATATATGTGCTCGTGTTTAATATACCTTTGGAAATAAATTGCCATCTTTTAACCTTCTTGAAACTGAAATAGGATAAGATAATTCCTATGAATCACATGGTTAAACAGAAATCTATTAAAGAAACAAAAACTATTAAGCATAAATAAATCTCCCTGAAAGACTATACAATGTACGGAGCATATGCTTAGTTTGATACACTGACAGTTTTTCCCGGCGAATTGGGTAAAAATGTGTTCTCGTGCATAAATCAATAAACAATATGCTTTTTCCATTGTTTGTTTGCCTGTAACAAGCACGCGCAAATCGCTGTATGATAACCTGTGAGTATTGGCATGAATAATTATTACATGTAATTCGTCTTAGTACATATTCACTTGACAATGTGCTGGCCTGTGGCGTGTGTCGGAGAGTGGATTACGCCATGATTTAGCTCCATTAAGCCAATATAATTTAAATCTCCTGTGCACCATTTATAATTTTGTTTGATGTTTTTGACAGCCTTCAGAGAAAGATACCCTTTATTGGTATGGGAACTGTCTAGTAGGCTAACGTTCCAACTTTCTAAATAATATCAGTGAATCCCACAGAATGACGAGATAAAATGGGTGTCGGGGGTCATATGAACTTCCTTATTTAGCTGCTTGTGCCGATTTTTGGTCTTTAAATGCTGCTGACAAAAGTTATATCTCCATTTTCTAGATATGTGATAAAAGGATCTAAATTAGGAGTGCTATTTTTCGAAAAAATATTTATTTTCTAATTGTACAATTATACTTCGATCTTGGAAATTTCAGATTTGATTTTTAAAGTTTTTACAATTTTAAAACAATTTTTTTATTGACGTTTTTATAACAGTAATCTCACAGAGAATGTACATAACAAGAACTGCAGAAAAAATGGTCCAGATTTAGAGGACAGGGGGGATTGAAAATACTAGGATTGATTTTCAGAACATAAAAAGAAAATATATTTCGTTTAAAAATTAAATTGATCAGTATTGGTCTGCATAATCAGCAACCGTTACGACAAAAGGTCCCATTTTCTCCTTGAAGTATGGAGGTCGAGTTGGTACGTTGCTACTACATTGGACCAGATTGAGAGGACATTAACTGTCTGGCCATGTCAGTATCTTTTATGCCCCGTAATCAAAGATTTGGGGTTACATAGTTTTTGCCGTGTCCGTCTGTCTGTCTGTTTGTCCGCAAAAATTATCCTTGCCCATAGCTTTAGATGTAGTGGAGCCATGACTTTCATATTTCACAAGTGTATTCCTTGTGACAAGACCTTTCTTTGGGTACCATCAAATTTTACCTTTTGGCCCTGACCTTAGAGTTTTACACACTTTCAAACAAAAATTCCAAACTTTTACTTTGGTCATAACTTTTGAACGGTAGATACTAGAACTTTCATACGTCAAATATATATTCTTTGTGATAAGACTTTTTATTGGATATACTCAACAAATTTAACCCTTTGATCTTGACCCTGGAGTTTTACCTACTTTTAAAAGCAAACCTTGACCATAACTTTTGAAGGGTTGGGTAGGGCTTTTATACTTCACATATGTAATCCTTGTGACAAAGTCTTTCATTGGAATGGATACCAACAAGTTTGACCTTGACCTTGGAGTTTGAACTACTTTTAAAAACATTAACCTTGACAATACTTTTTAAACGGTTGGTGCTAGGACATTCATACTTCACATGTGTATTCTTTGTGACAAGACCTCCTATTGTGTACCAACAACTTTGACCTTTTGACCTTGGAGATTGACCTACTTTTACAAAACTTAAACATTGGCAAAAACTTTTGAACAATAAGGGCTAGGGTTTTCATACTTCACTAATGTAATTCTTGTGACAAGACGTTTCATTGGATACCAACAACTTAGTCCCTTTCACCTTGACCATGTAGCTTGACCTCTTTTTTTAAACTTTAACCTTGACAATACTTTTTGAACGGAAGGGCTAGGGTTTTCATACTTCAAATATGTCATCCTTGTGACAAGGCCTTTCTTTAGAAACCAACAAACTTGACCCTTTGACCTTAACCCCAGAGTTCGACCTATCTTTAAAAAGTTAATCTTGGACATAACTTTTGAACAGATGATGCTAGGGTTATATACTTAACATTTGTATTTCTCGTGAGAGGCTTTACTTTGGGTGCTGACATATTTGATTTGCATTTAAGAAAATTTAATCTTCGCTATGTTGTCATACGGGGGCATCTATGTTTCATAAACATATTTTGTTTTTTCTACAATACCCGTGATGTTAATTTCCGAACTAAACAACCAAAGAAAGACATTTTATTGATCATATTTATTTATGTCTTTAAAAAAACTTTCAGAGTAAAATTAGACATTTTGTATTATATGTGTATGATTGATAGAACAGCAGTTGCGTTAGAAACCACTTCGTGTGGCTTGCTTGTGTGGTTTACTGTTTGATAAACAGCAATGGTTTTCATTAGAAATAAAGGAAATAATATTCATTGGCTATAAATATAGTAATAATATATCCAATAGCCTTTTGTGTCTAAGGAAGAATCAACAGTTATCATACAACAAATTATACAAGCACTCGTTTTAGCCTTTTATTTGGGTGAATAACAAATTCATGGCCACACAAAATATATCATCACAATTAACAGTTTGGCCAAATAATTCTGGTAAAAAATATATGTAAAGAGAGGGCCTACATAACATTTTTCTCTAATCGATACCAGATCATCTATTCTATTAGGCGGGGTGCATGAAACGACAGAAACGTGCCTCGAACAAAATTCTGGAGAGTCGCGATTACGAGCGTGAAATTAGATTAATCAAATTGGTCGATTGGAAGTTATTCAGCATGTTAAGTTTGATAGCAGACCATTACGATAACTGATGAAGAGTTTTACCCTAAACTATAAACACTTCTGCTCGGTCGTACATCATAGGATTAGTTGTACGTTTGTTCTGCTGGCCCATTATAAGGTATTGGTTTATAAAGAACAAGGAAAGACATGATTTACAACTCTGTGGAACTGAAGTATTTATCTCATGATAAAAACCTAAGCGGACATACACAATACAGATGTCCTAAATCACACAAAAAATCTAAAAAATAATCTTATAAAAAGTTACAACTTTTGAAATTCTTTTAGTGAACACACATTTGCAAGGACAAAATAATACATGTATACCTTTATCCATCAGATGCACATTGCTCTCACTAGCCGTTAGATGTACGTCATGTTTGGAAAATGATGTTATGATCAACCATTCAAAAAGACAAACAGATGCAAACGTATAACCAGGTCAAGATTAAAATCCAATTATATATTGTCAAAATTCAATAATGACCGCAGAGGCCAGGCCAATTAAAATATATCAGAGTTAACAGGTCAGCGAGGGTAGCTCAAATTCAAAGCAATTGATATTTTGTTTTTAAAAGCATGGTTCTATAGTCAATTAATGCCTTTTCATTTGTACTCTAATGAAAGGCTGAATATATCTATAAAAAAGATAAAAGTTATAAAACAGATAAAGCAGTTCTCCTATTGAAATATAAAGCTCACGAAAACAATCTTTTTTTTTTATTACAACCCTAAATTCTATGTAAGCAGAGCTATCAAAAGCATTATGTTATTGGTTTTCGGAGGGAAATCTGGATTTTTATTGTTAGGAAAAGAATGTACAGAAATAAGGACTTCTTCCTTCTAAATAAATTTTTAATTTGCATTAATTTCCCTGTCACAAGCAATCACAATATCTCATTATTAGAAGTTTTTTTAAACTGGTCATCGCTCCAGGAAACTTCATGAGAAAATTAATTGTCCCTTTCATCAATGACATCGAATGTCCCTTAAAATAGAGACTTGTAGCACTCATTCCTCCTTGAAACTGGACGTAGTATTCCAGCTTCCATATTGTGTCAATTGATTTAGTTGACAATGATCATCAAGTATTACTGATGTACACACATAATCAAAAGAATATCATAGATGACGTGTAAAGATCCCCACGAGTGTGGGCGGATCCTAAATAGCGCCCTTCATAATCACCCACAGTAATAGCTAAATTCCATATAATGCTGCTGTTGTGATCGTAGATAAGACAAGAAAACTGTCCATTTGAAAATGAAACCATAAAAATTTCATCCTCAATCTGCCAATATATCATTTGCATGCATTTTATTGCATTTTAATAAAAGGTTAAGTTGTTTAAAGTTAAGTGACATGACTGTAAATGTGGCATTTAAAGACCAAAGAAGGGAAAACGTTTCACGAAAACAAAAACTAAGAGGAAAATATCGCTCTTTGACAACTTATTCATTAACATGATAAAATGTAATTTTTTTCATGAAGCGTTATAATCAAGAAAGCATTTGTCCTTGTATACTCTTTAGATGAAGACACTTTTCCATCTTTCGATAACTTCGATTTCATCGGACCCTTATAGGCTTATGCTGACGTCAAAGCCAATTGCCAAACAGCTATCTTTACTTGAGATTGGCTAAATATAAGAAATAAGACCTAGACACTTTGTCAAAATAGAGAAAAATCAAGAAGCAATTGCGAACTATGTATCATTCCTTTTTTTTTTATCAAACCGGAAGTGACGAAAGAATCAGAGAGACTACATGAAAAATAAATTATGGTTCAAGCAGACAAGACTAGAGACTTTGTTTGTAAGGCTCATCGTGTATTTTGGAAGAATTTGGTCCGGATGAAATCAAACACATACTCACAATTCACTTTTCATGGAAGAAAATCTTCAAATTCCATTTCAATGTTTAATCAAAACATTTAATTTACCAGTTAACCAAGAAGAGTCCGGTCAATCTACCTTCATGTACTGGATTCCTCGACTTTATAAGAATCCTTACAAAATACATGGTTGGTTCCAGCAAGCTCTTTAGCAAGCCCACACTTTTATGCCTTATAAACTTATTAACTGATGCTAAGTACTAGGAAAACCTTCAGACATTTAATGCTACAGCATAATCTAGAAGTGGTGTAAATCAGATGTGGATCCCCCCAAAAATCTAACTTTTAGAAACTTTAAAATCATACTTTTTTTTAAAATCATACCAGTTTTCTAGTGTCTGTTTATT